ATGAACACGCATCATCCGCCAATGGTATCATTTTGAGAAAGTATTGAAGAGCTGCTGGAGTTTAACTAATTCCTAACCCTAATGTAGCATAGTTTTAGTCCGTAGTTCCTGTGTCGTTCCCCCAAACTGATCAAATCTGGTTTTATCTCGTCAAATTTATCGCACTTGGACACTGCCCAGCTGATTGCGTTCACTACTTTTAGACTGTGTCGTTTCATGTCCATCTGGTGTGTACAGGTTACGTCATCTCACTAGGAACCATATTGTACGGCGCTAACAAGTAAAAATGTAAATGTTTTTTATTAAGATATGACATTGATCTTTGAGTTCGTTACCCGTTCGTTAAAATCGGGCTACAACACGGTTGCAGAAACAAATTTCAGAAACAAATTTCCCTACTGCTCCTGCTCGATTACAGTAAAGCCTTTGACGTGCTTGATCATGAGACCTTACTTAAGAAGCTTGACCATTGTGGGATCAGGGGAGTCGCGCACGAATGGTTTAGATCTTACCTTTGTAATCGATCTCAATACGTAACTTTAAACGGAACTTGCTCTTCTAGCATGCCCATAGTTTACGGCGTACCTCAGGGTAGCATTTTAGGACCTCTCTTATTTGTAATTTATATAAACGACCTACCTGGAATTAGTGATTTTGCAAAGTTCATCCTTTATGCCGACGACGCAAACATATTAATTAGTGGAACCACCCTAGAAGAAATACAATTAAAAGCTAATCAGCTAATTTCACGTCTTGTAGATTGGGTAGGTGCTAATGGGCTATCTTTAAATGTAAAAAAGACGTGTTACATGATTTTCACTAGAAAAAGAATCGACTTCAGCGGCTTTAATTTGTCCATTGACAACACTGTAATCGAACGTAAGACTGAAGCAAGATTTTCAGGAGTGATCCTAGACGAAAAGCTCACTTGGCAAAAACACATTACGGCAGTTAGAATAAAGATGGGTCGCTACCTCGGAGTTATGTATAAGCTAAAGCACCTTCTACCTATCAAAGCCCGCCTAAACATTTTCCAAAGCCTTATCCAATCCCATCTAAAATTCTGTTCTTTAGTGTGGGGATTTGCCTCAAAATGTCACATTGAATCTCTGTTCACCAAGCAAAAGCAGGGAATTAGAGCTGTTATGTCAGGATATGTAAATTATAGATATAAAGACGGCAATCCCCCGGAGCACACAAAAAGTGCGTTTAGATTGCATAATATCCTAACAGTCCATAGCGTCATTGTAAAAAACGCTCTTATTCTACTACACAAAGTAAGGAACATGCCAAGCCTTCTCCCTAAATCCATCAAAGAACTTTTCCCTCACGATATTCCCACCTATAATTCCACATACGAACATAACCTTTCTTGGTTCACAACTTACAACGGCCCAACATTTAGAAATACTCTTTTCTTCAAAGGACCCATGCTCTCTATTACAAAACAAAGTAAGGATATAACTATTCCAAGTTCTACCTTTTCAATTGAAATCTTTAAAAATTCAGCTAAGCGCGAACTCCTCAAGCTGCAAAGCTCAGGAGACGATGAAAATTGGCCAAATTTCTTACTTTATAGTATACCTGGGCTAAGAAAGTCTCAAAGAGAAGGGCGCTCGCAGATAGACTACAACACCGAGTTAGTAAGCGACAACGCGTAAAGAAAGATCACTCGCGAAAAATGACCATGATCTTTTATCAACAACATATCATTTTAATTTCACTGCCATTATGCAATGCCGAATTTACATCTGCCGCGCAAAACTTTTTATCTATTATTATTAAATAGTAATTAGCATGTTTACAAATTGCGACTTCAACCAGTTTTGCAGACCGTTAGTTATATAGTACTTTTAGTAGGGCATTTATTTTAATATATTTTATTTTACATTATTATATTTTAGTGTGACTTCTATAATTTCATTTATGTAATAACCATTGATTAATAAATTGCGGCACACGCCAACCTCCACCGTGGGGTTTCAAAACAAAACAAACAACAGCGGGTACTCCGATTATATTAACAGCTGGTATTCTTCAACTATTGAAATACACGTTTAGTTGAAAACTTTCAGTGATCTTTGAAGTCAACTTTATTCGACAAGACTATTTAACCGTGTCGATAAACGAAGTACAACATTATAGGATTTTAGACTTGCCACATAATTAGGGTTGTACATCCCGCTCCCTTTAGCGAAAGTGAAGAGGTCTATCGAGTCAGGTGCTTCTTTAATCAGTCTGTAAGTTTTATGTCTGGTCAAGTTAAACAGGAAAATTGTATAGTATTGGGTATAAATTGAAAGATATTTCATGCACTTTTACCAACCATGAGAGAAAACTGAAAATGTCGGGAAGAGTCTAAAAGTCGTTGAACTGTTTGGTATGCTGCGCCACTAAGTTAGTGACTAAGTTAGTGACTGAGTTAGTGACTAAAAAACGACTTAGCTAGTCAGATCATGCACAATGTGGCGATTAAAAACTGCACCTTGAAAACAGCAGCTGGCTGTGTTTTATAAAGTCGTCGCTTATAATCTCCCACGAGCTTTTTATCAATCCGATCTAGCAAATAATTTGGATGAAACAGTAAAATGTTTCTTAGAACTGATTTATCTTTCTTGAAACTAATTTATTTTACGGTAACCAATTGAGGAGCCTATCTGGAGAGGTTTTCCCGTATTCAGAGGGTCAAAATTATAAAGTGTTGACAACAAAATGTTGGCAGTAATTATTTGTTACATATAACTCGTTTAGTTATAACTTATAAGACAGCATGGGTCAAGGGGAGGTTTACAAAGTATGTGTACCTGATGTCTGCTGAGATGAGCGTATCTGATCTTGAGGGTGTCGTTAGACGTGTAGGAGTCTGTAATGTCTGATTTATACCCGATGTGTATTGACATTGTTGAGTTCTGCGAGCTGTAGGCGAGTATTATTGTAAATTCAAATAAGAACTACAGATACAGGGATGGTAAACGTTTAGTTGATGAGTTCCGCTTTTAGTCCCAGTTTAAGTTACGGTCCTGGTCAATAAAGCTGTTCCGATTAATTCTTTATTATACAGTAACTACTCAAACGAATAGAAATTAGATCATGTGTTTATTGTTTATTTAGCATAGGATCTAATATCTTAATATCGCATAATTTTGACGTTTCAAGTGCAATATCAACAAGCGTTTATCAATAAGTCGAAATAGGTGTTTCTAGAAACTGTACAGCTGCCAAATCATTTTCATTCGCATACGGCGCACTCGACTATGAAATATCCCTACTTATGTTAACAAGTCAAACTTTAAATTATAGAGCAACTTCTATCTTATCTAAGAACATATGGCTACAAATTGTAAAAGTGATTGAACAACTAATCAGGCAAAACACGTGACATATCGCATTATCACGTTATCTGGTAGAGGTATCTGTAAATACGTACACTTTATAAGCTGCAACAAAATTGTACAGACAGCTTTATAATATCGATCAAAGCTGAATGCCAAGTTGCTTAGTTAAGTACCATTGATATTGATAGTCATGTGATCACTTTCCTGTCATATTAAAACTTTAAATGCCCCACAATGATATATTATTTGTTATTTATTATTTATATATAAATGATAAATAACAAATAAATTCTAATTTTATACATAACTTTATCAATAAATATTTGAGTAAGTTATATATAACTAGAGATAATGCTTTGAAGGATTCAGCACCTTACTAGAGAGATATCGATATAGATATTAAATATAATAGTGGAATCTGCCATGAATTAAACTTAAATATTTACATGTACTCTAATTTGATAAACAAATAAACATTTCCTCGCCACCAAAAGACTGAAGTAACAGCGGAATATTTGTGATAATCAGTAAGTTCTCAGTTTCCTACAGCCTGTGTAGAGTATACCACCTGAGACCTGACTACATATGGCGATAAAATTTACACGGCAAATATGATGAGTTATCAAGTTTTACGGCGTCACAATCTTTAGCTAGTAGGTTGCCGTCACACCGCAGCTGGGCTTTTCGGTCGAGGGGATATTTTTACGTTAATGGAAGTTGGAACTGTACTATGTTCTTTAGATTTGCTTATTTTGAAAACTCATGCACGAAAAGATGATTAGACATGAATTTCTCAGGAAGTAACAAGCCTACCCGATCTTGTATTTCTATCACAGACATGGTTGATTACAATGTTTATGAATGGAAATGTAAAAGCATGTCTTTGATTGATCTCATGGAAATCCCACACACCTAACTCCGTCCTCTACGGAAATATCCCATCGGTGACTGATACCATCAAAACACGAAGACTTCGTTTTGCAGGGCATGTGTACCGTCTACAGGACCAACCTGCTCAGCAACTCCTTTTCTGGCAACCATCTTACGGCAAAAGGTATCGAGGACGACCACACAAGACCTTTCCGGAAGTCCTTCAAGAAGATACTGGTTTAGAGCCCCACATGATACGTCTGCTCATGAGTGATAGAGATAAATGGAGACATGCGTTGACACGAAACTCGTTCCAGATTTCATCTGGACCGACCTAGGCAGGTAGGCAGGATTGATATCTGATCAGATTTTGACAAGCCTTTCGTTATTTAATATGTATGTTGTTGACTATCAAGAGTTGGTTAATGACATTCCGAAAGTCCATTCAGATAATTCTAAGTCTGATCATGTGACGTGTGGTCTGGAAATCACGTCAAGTTCGCCCTCAGGATCACATGTTCTCATGATCCCAGGTCATCAGGATCACATGTTCTCATGATCCCAGGCGTGACGGCTCTGATTACCTGGACATCACGTCACCGGATCCTTCCCGGCATTCCCAGGGGCGTGAGACCTCGTTATTACTTGTGAACAGATATCTGAGTCGTGGGATCTCGTTACGTGACGAGTCAGACATGCGATCTCATGTGGTATAAAACCAGAAATATTATACTAAACCTCATTAAGTTTTTATCTTCTCTCATGAACACTACAACATCTGAATCCTCTCTCACAATGCAAATGAAGTCAAATCCCTCCCTATACGAACCCATCAAGGACGAACTACTGAAGCAACAGCACCTGATCAAGGAGGAGTTCTTTCCTGACATCTATTCTCTTATCAAGGAGGAAGTTGCTAAACAGGAAGCTATATACACCCACTTCTACCAGCCTTCCAAGCAGGACATGGTGGAAGCCCAACCTGGTCCAGTATACCCTCCTCACCAGGCACCCTCTCCACATCAGACACCTTCTCCTCACCAAGCACCCTCCCCACATCAGACACCTTCTCCTCACCAGGCCCCCTCTCCTCCTACCTTCCCTCACCATCCTATTCAGAGTGAGAAAGTATCTTCTCCTCCAACTTACCCACAACAACAGATTGAACGGGTTCCCTCTCCAATAGCAGAGAAGAAACAATCTACTGAGTTGGTTCCTGAATTGGCTCCTCTGGTTTCCCACCAAACCCTCCCCAATATTGGACAATTCCACCAGGACTACTCTTATATTCCATACGGTCTATACTCCTATCCTTCTCCCTACATTCCCTTCCCTTCCACCTCTGCTGTCGGCCACATGAGTGTCCCTGCTCCATCTATAGTAGCTGCCAACTATCACCCTACGCCTCTACCTACCCACCATCAACCTACATCCTCAACCTTCTCAGATCAGACTGTCAGTACATACGGGAAGATGAAAAGAGTTAGAACAGACTTCACCCCAACTCACCTGACCGTCTTGGAAGAGACCTTCTCTAAATCTCAGTACATGCGTGGAATGGAGAGGGACGATTTGGCTAGACAACTCAAGGTGACTCCTAAATCTGTGACGATCTGGTTCCAGAACAGACGAGCTAGGATGAGGGCAGAGAGCAGACAGGATAACTTCATCAAGCATGCCGCTGAGACTGGTAGTAGTGAGGTCGGAAAGATCCCGGACTTCAGATAGATATCGATGTAACACTCAACAGCCCCTTCCTTGTGGATTTTAGATTTATACTTTGTTTTCGAAGTTTGTTTTTAGCTTTTAAAGCTATATGCATGATTTAGTAATTACAATTTTATGTCAAGAAATAGTCTTGTTTCAATTATTTATGTCAAATTTCTAAAATTAAATAGAACTATTCAAGAAAATAGCTTGTTTCAATTATATCAAAGTTATAACGTCTGGTGCATTAGTTTGTTTCAATTATTTATATCTGGAGTGTTAATAAACACAGTGACAAGGTTGCTAATGATATTTGCATTGCGGAATGGTAGTTTATAGGTATAATAATTATATCCTCTATCAATAAATAAACTGAGAGAAGCCTCCATGCTCGTCTGATGGAGCACAGACAGGCTGCTAGGAATCCTAGAGCACATCCAGAGAATGGGGTTGGACAGCACTACGCATCTCTACATCCTAACCGAACCCCAGTTTTATCTTTTAAGTTACTTGATTTACAGAGTAAAACTGTTCGTAGAAAGATTGTAGAAGCGATGTATATATTGAGATTAAGTCCTGAAATGAATGATCGTTCCGAGTTGAGTTATTTGTACAAATATTTAGTCGATGTTTAACTAGTAAATAATGTATTGATAGGACTATCTTGTATAGTAACCATGACAACCGAGTTATCGTTGCTTAAGTGCTGATTTTATCATTAGTTTTTACACATGAACTGTGAATTCTGAACAACCAGTTTTACGTTTACTAATCAGTTTAGTATCATGAGTAGTACAGTATTTAGTTGTATTAGCTTACATTTCTTCTTGTCGTATTTTTTGTTGTTTTGACATTTTTTGCAATTACATTTTTTGGGTCATATTTCGTAAATTTTATTTCTCTGTTTTTGTTTTAATGTTATTTTAAAGTTCTTTCCGTCGTTAATTTTTACACATGTTTAACAATTTTATTACAGAACTGAAGAAGACGTTGTTACGTGGAATGATTATTTCAATTCAATAAAGTTTCTAGCCTAAAGTTTGCTGCTTCAATTTGTTCGCAAGTTAAGAGTCTAAAGAGAAATTCTCCAAGAGAAACCAATAAATAAGCTTGTTTCAATTATTTATCAAAGTTTTCAGCATTAATAGAAACAATTATTTATATCTGGAGTATTAATAAACACAATGGCTCTCAACGATAAGGTTGCTTGGTCCCATGTTCATGATATTGGCATGACGGAATGGTAGTTTGTAGGTAAAATCGGGTATTACTCGAATATTTTGTAACTACCTTAGTACACAATATTTATACATCACAATATTTATACGAATTTCGATTTTTCGTATAAAATTTATGTCGTATAAAATTTATGGGCTATAAATTTTGTGTCGTATAAATTTTCCATTCTCAAGCCGTATGTTGATCAAGTTATCGAGAAACTAGGACTCCCAGAAAATCAAAAGGCACTCTTAATATGGGATGATTTCTGTGGTCATACTGCATCTAAAGTACAGAACCTATTGCCATCATTGAATATAGTTGCTAGTGATGTACCTAAGAACCTCACCCATTTGCTTTCTCCTCTTGATCTGACGGTAAACCGTACATTGAAACGAATCGAGCAAGATGACAGTGCAGAATATATCAGTGCTGAGATTACTAGATGTCTTCAGATTTCTCCGCGAATAGATGACATTAAAGTTAACACAGGAAAGCCTATTCTACGAAATTTGCACGCAAAGACTATCACGAAAGCGTTTGCTTACTTTCAGGGACCAGAAGGCAAACAAAACATTCTGCAAGGGTGGAAAGCTGCAGGAATTTGGAAAGCAGTAAAATCATTAAGAGACGCACAGAACATAATGGACACTAATGGCTTAGTGGATCCGTTTTCTCGTCTTACACTGATTGATTAATTTCTATATTTCTATTTTCTAGTCACTAAACGGATTTTTTTCTGTTCTTTGGGAGATTGATGCAATCGTATAAAATTAATGCCGTATAAAAATATCCGTACAAAACTCGTGACGTACAAATATTCTGTACTAAGGTACTTGAACTAACACAGCAATTTTCAAATAGCTACATGTCATGGCGGGGAGAGTGTTCCAACGATGTGTCAGAGACGTTCCTCATCTCAAACTCAACCACATTCAAGTAGCTACAAAGATGACCAACCCACTGAAAAAGAGAAAGAAAGTGAAGGTAGACACGACGTTCACTGAGAAGGGCGAGAAGATACCACTGAGGAGTCAGAAGAAGCCTGAGCGTTCACCTGAAGAAGATGTTCAGTACCGAAGAGCTGAAATTGTCTCCAATATGGTAGGTTTGGTCACAATTAATAAGTTTGGAAAGGGTAAGGAATGTGGCTGGGGAGGCAACCTGATCTGAAGCTCAGTGTAATGTAATAAATTGCCTGTATAATATTATGTAGTTAGTAATTTATGACACGTAGATGATTTTTGGTCGGGGTATGGGAAGAGTAGACAAGTTTCATCTGGTATCCTGGTAAATCGAGGTGAAATATACATTATTTTCGATGACCAGCCTGTTTCAAAAACAAAAATTAAAACCTCAGAAGCAGAGCAAGGCTTGGATAACCCATGAACGGAAGACATGGTTGTACAACAGGTTCATAAACGCTTTTCACATCTTCGCAGTTGCAGCATGCGGACGTGAGTAGAATATGGTTACAACGTTAAACTTAATTATTATAATTTATGTCAGCCGAGTTCTAATAGTAATACGCGTAGATTTATCTTACAAGTCTACGTACATATATGGGTTTATGTTAAATTATATTATTATTATACGTTCATGTTAAATTAGTAGAAAAACTAAAATTAACAGTAAAGTGAACAACTTCAACAATACTTAGCACTTTGCACAATTGTAACAGAACGAACCATTTTAAGTTGGGTATTTTTCTATTTACATTTTGAAATGATATTTTATGCAAACCACCTGGCGGAAGATGGGTGACGTGGTTCAATGTTCATAAGATCGAAAGCATTGCAGATTACATGTCATAAAATTAAAACTACGAAATAATGGCTAACTGTAAGCTTCGCATGATGGTGCCAAGCTTGGTATTTATGAGCAATAAAGCTGATTTTGATTGGTTAAAGAACGCTATATTGCTGTCTACAGCTCTCTGCATACTACGGTAGAGTTGCCAACAGAGTTAAAACGACTTTTAATTTTTCTTCTTTATTACTAACACTTCCATCAGTCGTATTATATAATGTTCTGTCAATTATTTAACTATTTATTATTTCAGTGTTTGCGATAAATGTCTACCACGAGATGAAAGGAAAGTACAAAATGTACGTCTTCTCCCAGAAAGTAGCAGCGGATCTGGCGGAGGAACTGGGCATGGATGCGCCACCCAAAAGAAAACCCAAAAAAGAGAAGAAATCCCCCGGTATCCACCCAATCGAGTATTACTACAAGGACGCTCCAGCAACGGAGACTACAGAATGAGAGTTGGTCCAGAGAATTTGTTACAGACACTAGGAGAAGAGGAATCATGGTGCTAGTACAATGATCATCATGTTTAACGACCCTCTAAATACACATCCCATCGAACTGTTTTATTTGTTTTCTGGTTAAGTGATTGGTATGATATGTTTGCTAAAATGGACCGAGGTAAATTATTGGTTGGTTTGTTACAGTGACCCAACGTTAAGATGTAACTTTTTGTGAAAGTAACCTTCAAATTGTGATGCTTTTTTACCACATTTTGTTGAACAAATTTTGCTTTTTATTGTTTCTACACGAACGTAACACCCTTTCTAGGCTCACTCCTAATTACATTTTAATGGAAAAGGTATTTTAGAGAAGGAAATGAGTTTTTCCAAGAGGTTCAAATTATCTCCTTTCCCATCGATAAGGGATGCTAATAAGAGTGTGCGAATATAAATCGTAAACTTCAGTGCGATAAGTTCACATCAATTTGATTCATATCTCAAAAATACGGGGTCGCTATAGAAAAATTATCGCCTAGTAGGCCGTTAAGGAAACGATGGCTCACAAGTAATCTTATTTGTGGGAGAAATAAATAAAAGGCCAGAATCTTACTTCCATTGTACAAACCAACTGTGATCTGTTGAGTATTCAGCTCAACAGTTCAAATAGCTATCTATCGATCTTGAGACAATTTCTTACAAATTCACTGTTAATACTAGGTTCGGGACGCTCTCCAGGTCCATTAGTTCTACTTCTGCGTAGTGACTTAATACTTACTTTACTAATCGGGGGGAATGCCTAATAATATTGTTACTATTACACTTTAATAATATAGTCGTTTCTAAACATTCAATTATTTATAGATATTAAATTTAATCTATAGACCACTTAAAAATCTGTAAATATAGTATAATAAATATAGTAATAAAAGTAAATAAATATAGTAATAAAAGTTCATATCATGTCTTAGAATCTAATTAAACGGTAACGAAGACCATTTTTCAGCCACAAGCAGAAGAAAAACAAGCGGAACCACGAGAAGAGACGAATCTTACGACAGAAAACCGCCCAGAATAGTGACACAGAGCTAATATTAACCGATGAACAAAAGTAAGTCAATATTCTGCTTCTTGTGAAGCCCACCAACCCCTTTGTGGGTAAAAATGAGAGTCACGTGGTCACCTATTCGTCCAATCAGCAACCCCGAATCACACCAATTATCCGATCACGAAACTTCCCCAGATTTCTGGGCGGTAACTAATTTGACCCCCAATTATTTTTGTCTCCTCCTCCACTTCAAGATTTCGTTTTAGCTGTCAAAAATTGTGCTCCACTTGATAACCGTTGGGTCACGTTGACTTTATTAAATAGAGTCAACGTGACCCTCAAATTTGACAATGACCTCAAAGAGGCGGAGACTTAAACTCTCTTAAAGTCTTAATGGGTGGTTGAGACAAATTCACATTGTCGTATCGTCCTCCGAATTCTCTGCAATCTGCTATGTGACTTCAACCATAAGGTTTGAGAGGTCGGAAAAATGACAAATAAGAAAAGTCAATCTACGTATTAAAGAAACTGTTAATTGACAGCGTTTGGTTAAGGACCGAAGATGAAACTCATCTTATCACTACTTTAAAAGGTTTATTGATCAGGTATCTAAATGGGCTGCGACTTTGAAAACCGAAAAAATCTGGTCCAAAACTTTCTGTGTTCAAACTTTGGTAACGAGGAAATTCGGTCCTATGTTATCTAGAAATCAAGCCTGACTAACGAGGAAATTCGGTACTATGTTCTATAAAAATCAAGGCCGATCAAAATGGAAGCTGCAAATGATGTGTGTTAACAGTTAATCACAGATCCTGCTTGATAACAAAACACCCGTGATCTATGAGATCAATATCAATTTCTTCCGGGCCCTATTTTAAGCAAACCCAGACTCTAAAGACAATGCCCACACTCAGAAGGGCTAATTTGTGTACAGATAAGTGTTTCCAGCTTTGGGCGATAAAAGCATTGTACCTCTAAATCGTTGTTAATGTTTGTGAACAAACTCACAAGAAGGTACCCCTAAAGTTTTTCAAAGCATTTAAAAGTTGATTCCAAGGAATCACATAAATAAAATTTTAGCCTTGAATAATGTCAAAAGTGGTTTTTTAAGTTGAACTTACAACAAAATATAATTCGACGTTTTGAAATGATGGTTCGAAAATCTTAAAGTCTCATTGCTAAGCAAACGGTTCTGTTTCAAGATAGTGTTCTATAGCGAATTCATCATATTGTGCTTGTGATAAGAGTTAGCTGACGGTTGATATGAAATCGTCAAGTCAATAATTAGGGTATGCAGCAGCATCATATTATGCTGTTGACCAATTCGCACTTATACTATATTGTTCAAAAACAAAAGAAGTTTCATCAATTTTATGCTATACTTGCCTTTCATATTAGAGGAGATGGCTCACGAACCAAGTCCACACATACTGTATATATAACGATCCTCTTGATTGGAAAGATCAAAAGTTCTTCTGCAGCAGCAGCCAAATCTTAACCACTTTAAGAGTTTGCCTGAGAGTTAAAAGCTCACTGAGTAACTACGAATATTACCCTTGATGCGTGGGAAAATCTTGTGATCTAGGCATGAAATGACCGATTGTCATCATATTCTGGATAATAAAATAATCTGCTATTTAGTTAGGGCAACAGTAGATTGTGGGAAAATGTTTTAGATCGGCTAGATACTTGTTGTTTCGCTAACTGTATGTATTAGTATTACATAGTATTAGTATTACTGAAAAGATTGTCGATTAAAATTCCATTGGTTAATATCAATGCAGTGAATCATCATATCATCTGCTTTCAGTATCGAGCTAGAAAAACAGCGGCAGAAAGACAAAGAGGAGAGGTATGTAAACGACTTAAAGTTAGCAATTACATTAAAAACTCGAAATTCGGAGGTCAGCTGTTGACGGTTGTGTTATAAATAGATAAAATTATGCCTACCTATAACTTAAACTAAATGGGTGCTATGTGCATATAATATACATTATACAGTATGACTAACAGTACATAAATCTTGGTCATTACGAATATTTTTGATGTCAAGAATTTTAGAAAAGAAATAAATTTCAAGCTTCCGATTTAAAAAATTTATAAATTTTCAAAAATTTATACTCGAGTCAAATGGTAAATTGCTTCGGAGACATAATATATATTGAGTCAATTTTATCGCAGCCATAGCTGCTGTCTCTTAATAGGAATAATGGATTATAAATTTGATGGCAATTTGTAGTAGGAGGATTATATATATAAAAGGGCGGTGCGTTTCAAAAATAACGCCCCGGTTTCAGAATGCTGCGATGTTTTTAACTTTTTAATATTCTATGAAACCTAGAATATTTTTAAAAACGCAAGTAGGTACTCAATAATTCATATTTTTTTAAACCAACGTCACAGACATCACATTATAGCTGAGGGATATATTGTAGGGCGGGATGTTAAAAAAGAATGCCCCATGGTTTCAGAATGCTGCGATTTTTAGACAAATAAAAAATAATTGTCGCATATTATACTATATTAAGGCAACATGGAAAATTGAAAAATAATGTTCAGTACTCAATAATTCATGATTTTCTGAAACCAACGTCCCAGCGCTGTAATCCCATTAGTATTTAAACCACCGTGAATAACACTTTAACTTTGATCAGGGCCCTAGCAGAGAAGATGTGGTTAGAACGAGAAGAGGAAACTCAGAAACTGTTCCAGACGAAGAGGGCAGAGGAGGAGAAACGAAAAGCAGACAAGGAGGAACTCAAGGTTAGATTTGACGATAATCTGAATAACTTTTAAAGCTCTCAACCAATGTTATAATCCGATTGTTAAACTTACACCGGAGAATGAACTGACCGATTAAACTCTCTAGCATCATGTGACTATTTGAAGATTAGATTGATCATATGATCTCATTGTGTCCATGCCCCATGGTTGACCGTTGACTCCAGTCTCGATAAATAAATTCGAAGGCAAAGAAACACGTATAGTACATGTTTTTTGCGTGATGACGTCATAAAACTATGTTATCTGTATAATCAAAATGAACAAAGATGAATGAGAATATCAAAGTAATCTACTTCGGACAAAAATTTCCAAAACAGTCCGATTGATCCACGAAAATTGTCCTCATACAATGAAAGATACAAAAGATAAAACATGTGGCTACAGTGTAGCCGCTACACCACCCTGACCCCAAGCTGCACCATACACTTCTCCGGATGAAAGAAAGAGCAGAACTCCGACTCTATCAGCTCTTCTCTACTGATATAACCTTTCTTCTTCTTGTCCGCTTCTTCCAGCATTTTCCCGGCTTCACTGGGATCTAGTCCCGAGGCTGCCATCCATTTTCCTATCTCCTGATCCTGGAATTTTGATTATCACTTATTGTACATACCCAGCTATATACATTTTTCTTATAAAATCATGGTTCATTCAATTCTCACATTTTATGTATCCGCTCGTGAGTCGTTTTAGATGGCTTGAATCTTTAGATTCGAGTTCTTTTCGGCTATAAAGCAATCATTTAAATATGCTTAATTTTATTATCATAATATATTAGTACGTCTGAACAATTATATTGTTCAAGTTAAGTGAAATTAATTGCAAATTTCGTATGATTTGGATTATAAGTTCATACTAAAGGTGCAGTAAAACTCGATTTACCGTAGAGTTTGGGAAATGAAACAGCCGCGATAAATCTGGGTTCGTGGTAAATTGGTTTTTTTGTTTGTTTGTTCACGTTATTGATGTAAAACCCTTTTTGGAGAAAAGGAAATGGCCGCGGTAAATCGGGGATTTGCTGTAATTCACTTTATTTCCACGTATTATGTAGTTCATTTAAGTTCCCCGAAGTTGGCGGCTTGTGAATTTGAATTTGAAGTGCCAATTTGTTAAAACGTGACAGTAATTAATTGGTAATAATTGGTTACAATATTACACGAATGATTTCTAGTTCTCCATTTCACGGGTTGCTTCCTCTACAATGTATCCGCGAAAGTTTGAAACAGTGCAGAATGACCAGAGGGCCACCACCCAAACAACTGTGACACAGGGATTGTCTTTTTATTAAACCATATATAATGTCTGATTTCTTGACTTTTGTAGACCAACATCATTGCCTCTAGAGCTTTTCTTCTCATATGTGAGACAAGAGAAACACCATCTTACTCTTAAGACGCGAGGAGGGTTGGGACTCCTCGGACTACATTAAATCAATTCCTTAGACTGTAACATCCTCATTAAATGCAATACATTTTTAGTGTTGTAATTAATTTTAAGTTAATGGCCCATAACAGAGTCTTATGGAGAATGCGTGACTACTCGGCCACTTGATTTATTTCTCGTGTTTGCTGTATTTAGTTTTATAATTATCTCTGGGAATTATATCCTTTCGTTCAGAGCCCGGAGATAATTATAGGCTTAGTTTCGTGCCGCGCTATCCTTCTGCTGAAGCGTTGTGAATTATCGCGCGTAGCACTCAACAGCCAAGGTATTATTTTATTACAATAATAATAAAGCTCCTTTTATCTGCCCCTTAATGGTCTATTAACTGTTTATTCCCTGCATTCAAGTACTCTGAACCGGCCGTTATAAAATATATAATCAACTAACAGTAGATCGATGGGTGCACTAATTTCCGAACAGCAGTCGGTTATGTTCACAACCCCCTAGCATCCTCAACTTAGACCCTAGTCAAATGACTGTAACTTAGCACCATACAATTACCGCTGTACCATAGAATGATATCGGGAGAGAACAGTGTGAGTATAACTCTAACTCCGAGAAGCAATTAAGTAAAAGTGGACACGCTCTCCTTTTCCTAAAATGTCAAAATGACAATGATTACTTATAATTAGGCTTGCAATTTAACTTTCGAATTTCCCTTTGCATAGCACAGTTTATGTCATTAAGTTTTAGTGCTTCAGCAAGTGCACCACCCCATCACGGGCATGCTATTATGCAATTACACAAGAGGTAGCTGTACATGTTGCCAGCTAGAGTGCATCCTGTCACATATGTGATAGCTTACTTCTCAACTTTTCAACTTGTTTGGATAATACATGGCGTGTATTATGTAGATTATGTAGATTGTGGATTTTAGAGTATAAAGTGTAGAGTGTAAACTTTAGGGAATAGAGTGTAGATGCTTGTACCCTTATAATTTGGATTAGTCATTAGTCTGTGCCAGGCTAGCTCGTTGTGTCAAGTCTTTTCAGATGTCACGATAAAGGTTTATTGATATACTCGAGCAGTGCATAAACTTAGATAATAGATGTTATCCAATTTCGCTATGTTTGTGAATGGACAACTTAGTTCCTTTAAATTTAATCCCAATCTTATATCTATCGGGACCCGGGAGTCACGATGCTGGCTAGGGCTTTGGTAGTCTTGAATACTATGGATAGACAAATATTCATACTTGAATAAATGAAATGGCGATGCACCCAAGCGTGGAAATACTGACCTTTAGAAAGTAGATACTCTAATATATTATGATATATTAGGGGGGGGGGGGGGGGGGGGGGGGTCAAACTACATTTTTGTACATGGCCACCAGATTTTTGCCAAAATTACATGTACAAAAATGTACAAAAATGTACAAAATATGTTTTTTCCTGTTTGGCCACCAGATTTTTGCCAAATGTACATGTCGGAAATGTACAAAAATGTACAAAATATGTTTTTTTCTGTTCCGTTTCCAGGGATTTCCGATTTTTTGTACATTTTTTATGACCATTAATGTACATGGCCATCAGATTTTTGCCAAATGTACGCTAAATTAGTGTACAAAATGTAGTTGGACCCCCCCCCCCCCCCTATATTAAACAATTGATACCTTACTCGGGATTATTATAACCGGGATAAAGTGGTGGGTTTTGGAAGATTCCGCCATATTTTTCCCGGTCAAAAATTTTACCAGTCATAAAAAAACCCGCCGACTCAGATTATGGGGTTCCAAGGGGGTGGTGATCATCATATTTTACCTGAAGTCTCATATGTGCTAGAGAAGACTTTTGAAGCAGTGGATGGAGGGCTGTAACTTTATTGGCGGTCGCTACAATAATTTCGTTATAAAAATCACAATTTGGTTATAGAAATCAGATTTCAGGGTGGACCGTGATTCTCACTTTTCTTGCCCATGAAGTGAGTAAACTGTGCCACTATTTCATGGTCCACGGTGGATTGATTACTGGAGCAGTTGAAGATGCAAAGCCAAGACGTTCCCCAATACCAAGCGGTGGGCAGGAAATTAAGCTCCGGCTGACCTTCAGAGCAGTAGCCCCATTAGCGGACAAAATGAAAGTCTTGTTAAGACAACAACACAACTTAGAATTTGACGGTCAGCAGCTCAGGGGACAGGGGGATATCAATAATGATAATGGCGGGGACATTAGCGATAATGAGAATGAGAATACGCTTTAATGAAGATTTGACTTATTATTGCTATAGATTTATTTTCCTTTAAATACTAGACGTGTCTTTTTTTCTATTTCTGAGTAATATCAGTAACTGCAAATTGAAATAACTTCTTTAACAAGTAACAAAAACAGAAATTTCGGTTGAAAATTTGTTGACCTCTGAAAAAAAACTTGAAAGGTCGGCCACCGGTAAATACATGACCGGGATAATTTGGCGGGTTTTGGGAAATTCCGCCATATTTTTCCCGGTTATTAATTTTCCCAGTCATAAATTAACCCGCTATAATATTCCCGAGTAAGGTAGGTATGGTAATACTGCGACGAGTAAAATCGTGGGGAAAATAAGTCTTTCCCTCCACAGGTTTGCCGAAATAAAACCATTATATTATATAATATATTAACGTTATTAACTACGTCTACCGTATTATAGTTTCAGATAGAGCCTAGCTTCAAGATATTTCATTAATAAAACAAAAGTTTAATAAAAAATTGTGTTTATAGAGCGTATCTTTTCGAACAATGATTATTGGCATAAAATGCAGGTATTTTCCTTGGCTGCAAACGCGCGTAGTTTAAAGCATTTATAATTGATATAGTACAAGACTCCAAGATATTTCGTTGTGTGTGCCCTTACCGCTATTTGATTGTTGTTGTTTTCGTCAATGATGTCGAACAAGGCGTGGGCCACCTTACTGTGAAGTGTGGGTTTCCCTCTAGCTTCTCTTTCCAGCTCCTTCTTCCCCAGCTTGTTTAGACCTCGCAAGAACATCTTCTTATTCACCTTCAGGGATGTTAATATGTCAAGGTGGCCAATAAAATGAAAACGTAGACAAATCTATATGGGTGGAAAATTAAAAAATCTAGTAATCGGTGAATAGAAAAAGGCAGTTATAATTTGAACTGGAAAACTTTGGTCGATAAGGTAGTAAGAGGGTAATTGAAGCTAGGGGACCTAAAATTTCAATTTGTATTTTCTCCGAGACATGTTCCAGCGGCTATCGGATGTTCTCAACCAAACTTGTCAGAATTTCAGTAACGCCCTCTGCCATCTGGGGAAGAAGTGCCACATATTCACATAACGGTTACCCGAGACAGAATATACCGCATTTGCTTATGTTTTGCCTTATAAACGTAGGATTCGGGCAAGTTTTTAGTCTACAAGTGGACTGTCATAATAGGGGAAAAAACCACAGACATAAAATGTGGTGTAACGTCTGTCACCAACAAGGATGATTTGTGATTAACTTCTCTCCCTTCATTATCTCTCGTGTGTTTCGATTTTCCCTCTATATACCAATTTGTGGTAACGTGTCATTCAGTACAAAGTTTAAAGGCTAAAAAGTTTAACTATACAAATTGTTGCTTCTGATCAAATTGGTGTTTTTTAATTAGGTAACAAATATTAGGTTTCATTAACTACATGCTCACTGCATTTCGCAACTTGGACCAGTTTGAATTCCACTGTTTCAACATTGCTTCAACTTACCTTCTTGCCAGGCTTCAGACCGACCTCACCCCAGAAAACTGACAAGGCTGTTGCTAGGGCGTCCATCTTCCTAGGGGTCGCTCTACAGTACTCCTGAAGAGGTTTTATGTTGGCTATCATCTCCTCTATCGTAACATACCCGTCCCTGAAAGTTTCAGCTATACTGCCAGCTATACTAAATTAACAGACAAAAGTTTGGAACGTTTCGTGTGTGATACTCGAGAGGACGAAGTCTTGCCAACTAACGATTTTAATTAACTCTGCAATATTACGATTACCTGACATTATTCACTAGTATATCGATTGTCGGCAGTGTGAAAAAGTTAGAGCTCGTTTGACTCTGTAAATATTTCCAAACATAGCGACGCCATCAAAAGCATTTCCTATTAATTCCGGTTTAAGCATAACTTCGTACTTTAAGTTGTCACATTTGACATAACAGAAACCTCGACCAGAGTCCAAAATATTAGCTCCGTGAGAATCACTGTATTATGTTTTACTGCCAGTCTCTCCAAGGCCTTTGGTGTACACAAGATTGTGGTAGAAAATGAAACGGTAATTCTCTCGACTGGTTACGGCGCTTGACTTTGCCGACTCGAGGCTCTATTTCAATTTTATGCTGGACGCTAATTTGCACCATTTCGTAATCACTATATTTTACTAAAATTCTCACAAAATTTACTTTGATAAATAACGTATCAGTTTTGTTTATTCTCCACACTATTCTATACACCCTCTTTGAAAAGGTAAACCTGATACGCATTAATTTGTAAGATTTGTAAGAATTCCGTCGAAATTGTCCGCTACTTTTTCAATAAGCAGAGCAATTAACGTTGTAATTAGCTACAATAAATTGTAGCAGTCATGTCAGTTAATGTGAGGTTGCATGTTAATCGCTAACTGCCGTCTATCAGCAACACTGAACAGTGCATGATTGACGTGCATGCTGAAAATTCAGGCTTATCCTACTGTCTAAGTTCTTGAAATTGAGAGAACTCAGAATACCTATCCATATCCTCTAGACGGAAATAATTCAGCATGCTTTGTCTCCAGTAGAAGTTCTTTATCAGTGGTTGTTTCCTCCCCTTACTGCTCCCTGAACCCATTTCGTGCTATTCACGTGACAGGAGCCGATATGCTCGTGCGCGCGGCGGGGCGACAAGTAAGGCTTACTTGGGACTCCCAACGGGAGATTTACCGAACATACAACAAGCGAGCTATGAACAACACAAGAATGCAAGAGTTGACGAGGTATACTTGGCTTGCACTATTGTGTGAAAAGTAGGTCTCGTGTGTAGCTATTGTGAAAATTTTGATTTGACTCTGAGTTAATGCAGGTTATTTGTCATAAATTAGGATAAAGTCATGATATTATTGCATAATGCCATAATTAGCTTGGCTTCTAGCCAGACAATTGTTGTCTTTATCTGAGTTATTTAATTAAGCTTCTACAGAAATTATGATCCTACCTAGAGCTTTTAAAGAAACATCCGAGCATGATGACCAAACGCGCATAAAACTTTAAAAGTATCAAAGATCGTCCCATTTTGACAATCTTTATCTGAAGCATGACTGTAGTTTTTGTTCTTTATTTTGCACATTTCTCACGATCTGGCTCACTTCACCCCCCTGTGAAAAAGAGAAAAAGGTGGAGCACACAAATATAACGTCACCATAATATTGGTTATTGAACTTGAGTGGCATAAGAAAATCTAGGCGTGCTTTTTATATTTTTAAAACTACAACCCGTTGGCTTCTTTCTTGTTAAAACAAAAACTCTATAGCCAAATCGATTAGTCTTTCATTAAAATGTGCTTGTTGCGTATTTTCATAACTGCAAAAACGCCTTTTCAAAAAATTCTTTAGCCTATCGTATCATGTGGTCATGAAAAATGTGCATTTTCTGTATTTACATGTCTGTAGTTTCTGTAGTTATGTCTACGCATTTTCAAGACATAATCAACTTTAAGTGATATTTGATACAGAATTGCTTAGAAACTTTTAAAGGGCCAGGCTTTTATGTGTGTGGTGTATAGTATGTAATATATTGTATATGTGGATATTTGCATCTTTTAAATGAAAGCTTGCGGTCATCAAGCCATGTTTTTACAGACATATACATCAGACTGACGCCGCTTAGTCCCTTAAATGTTAGAACACGGGATGAACTGTAACACGGCCGGGTAAAGCTGGCCACTAAAAGCTGGAATGGAATTATTCTTAATGCTCGGAATTTATAAGTCAGCTTTATGCGAATGTAGTGTAACCACTGGCATGGATTTCAGACATGTGTTGGACTGCTTTTACTACTATCTTAAAGATAAATAATAATTCTGACTTATTTTACTATTATCTTAATTAATCTTAACTTATTTTTACTTAGATTACTTTTATTACTTTTACCTGTCCTCGTCCACAGCTCTAAAATATTGAACCATCTTTGTCTTCCAGAACACATTATAAAGTAGTCCCTTCTTACGGTCTCTCTTCTTACCGACGAAGTTACCCATCCAGAGCCAGTATGAGTAGTTACCAGTAGTAACCAGTAGTAACCAGTAGTAACCAGTTGTTACCAGTAGTAACCAGTAGTTACCAGTAGTAACCAGTAGTCCCAGTAGTAACTAGAAACTAGAACCAGCCAACCAGACACAACCTATAAAGGACAATGTAAAATACTGGTTGTAGGAATATATCTCGTGTTTTACTTGGCAGGCTCACACTTCAATGTGGACGGTACTGTTCTTTGACGGGTCGTTTGTAAGATTGCAAATATAGCAGTCGTACTTAAATGACAAATCTGAGATACATATCGTACAGAAATAATGAGGAAATTCTTGATGAATTATTTACAGAGAAATTAACAATAATATTTTTTTAAAACCACGTTAAAAAAAACAGGGATAACTAAGAGTGCAGGGAATTTGTAATCTAATATAATAATATCTAGTTTATTCATTCAAGCTGTTCCTGAAACAGTATGATGTGTTTTTGTGCTCCAAACTGCATGTCGAGCCTTTCTCAGCGTGGAGCCTAACACTTTTACTAGTAATTACTTTATAGCGATTAGTATTCATTCTGAAGAGGAACCGCCGCGGTAGCCGCTATGTTAAAGGGCCGTTTGCAAGTCTGTGCCCGCTGTGCCTTTTGATATTTTTACCCTGGATATGCTGGGCTAGCAATGATATTAATTAATGAATATGACGTTCCGAATATAAAAATAAAAATAATCGAATGCCTATTTAGAGAGGGAGAGAGTTGTGGTTAGAACATGCAGGTTCGTAAACCTGGATATATGGTTCTTAGCTCCACTAAATAGCTGGTACAGCTCGAAATTAATGTAAAGGACATTTTGAATTAGATATGTCTATCTATGTCATAGAACGTGACAGAGTTGTTAATAATGTTGATGCACAAAATTATCTTTGGCCCTTTTAGTTTTTGTTTGAAGTATTCATTGTCGAACGTGAAAATGTGCACCTTGAAGTTTTGTTTAATCAGCGAATGCAAAATTGGATCAAACGGTTTCTCCAGCAGTTATTGTAATAAATACCTCCTAGCGGTTAGCTTTAGGAGGAAAAGTAAAACACCCATACATTTATACATTTGGGATGACTTAAAAGCCACCAATTTTTTTTACATAACCATTTTACAATATCTTGGGTCGTGTTTGTGTTAATTTCTGTCTCGACATCTTGATCGAAAATCGAAATTGATCAGTTTTTGGGCTGTCATTGCTGAAAATAACCATGATATAATGTGTGACAACTTCGTGAGTGCCTCATTACAACAGTTTACTACTACATAGTATTATTTGTTTGAACTATAGAAATTCGTAGTTGTATAATCTTAATTTATATTATGTGGTAAGTGTATTATGTAGTATGGTTGGACTTTGTTGTTATAATTTCTGTTTAACATTGCACTTCACAATTTGGTCAACGTGATAATGATGTTTTCGTTATAAACTTCTGTTAAGATCTAAAGGATCTCTCTTTTTGAATACTACAAAGATACAACCACAAAACAAGAGTAGAAATATAATTTTAAGGGAATATCCATGAAATTTGACGTTGTTCGTCACGACTTCTTTGTAATATGTTAAAGTTTGGGTCACGCTGGATTGCCGACCTACCTACCCGGATTATTCTACTGACTTTAATAAATTTAATCATTTCCAAACAAAATAGAGATTACCAACCAACTGGGCCTCGTATCATCTAGACAACTTGCTGGCCCCATTAAGCCGCTGAAATGCACTGATATGTGCTGGGGAAACGTTCAAAAAGGCACCAAATCTTTGGCAGACTCTGTAAAAAGTAAAAACTCCAATTTAGAAATAGAAAGGCTCGTGCCCATCTACAGGGGGGTCTACTAGCAGCTTGCCAATATCCTAGACCTACACATACTGTGCTACTCTCACTTACAACTGCATGCTAGACACCACTATTATATTCTGCTAAATGTAACAAGCAAGTGTACTTGGTAACCACGTGATCCGTCGAGATGTCTCTGATTGGTGGTTGCCATGGTCACGTGTCCTGTTGTCAAGGTCACGTGGGGATGCTGCACGTTTTGATTGGATGGTGTGTCCCTGGATTATCAAGATTAGCAGAATCCTGTGTTTTTGTCAGACTCGTTCGACATTTACACTGTTCTGTCATATCGTACTGCTCCTCTGCTGCAACCTCGCTCCGATCCATTTCAATCTTTTCCTTTCTTGTGATGGGTCTCTTTATTTGGGACCGATGAGCAATGTACTTATAGAGCGTCCACTCTTTTAGTGTGCCACCCGCCGATCCTTGATCGACCAAAACTAACATTCGAATTTCCGGCTGGCTGATGGCAGCTGTGGTTTATGACCAAGTCTAGATTAACTTTGGTGAAAAGTGCGGACCTGGGCCTTTGATTAATCAAGCCCTGTGCTTGTTGTTGTTCTATCTTATTCAGGGTGTTGTTCACACAAGTTCTAGCGCGGCTCCAAGTTGGGGCGTTCCACCCTGACAATTTAATCGTTTATATTAGGCAGTAAAAGCTTTTTTACGCGTTATTTGTGCTCAAGTTCTTGTGTATTCGGATGTTTTAGCACAACAAACCAATATTTAAACTCGAGTTGAAGAAATCCCCTTATTTTTACTGATCTGTAATATCGTCAGTATAAAGTTGGTGTTGAAGTTTCTACCCCTCACTGTCAAAATACATTTAAGGGTTTCCTCCATCAATATTAAGTCTACTTTTACGAATATAATGTTTTTTTATATTGTTTACGCTATTCATAAGTTCATATCATTACAGCGAAGGATTCGAGAAGAGTTCCAAGAACTGCAAGAAGAAAGTCAAGTTCTGGCTCCCAACATCCTTAACATAAAGTCCATAGACCCTGAGAGTCGAGAGGTGAGTACCCCTGATTTCCATCTTATTTTAGGCGCTGCTCATTTATTTGAGATTGCTCATTGAAATATTTATTATCTTGGACAGATTGTAAGTTTAATGTGGTTCATATTCTTTATAACGAATGATTACGACATTGAAATCAAAATCACTGTTGTTTAGCCAAATTATTATTATTTTTTAAATATAGCTAGCTCTGCCTGTGAACTTTTCAACAGAAATACTGTCGCAAATTTGCCCAAATTTGAAATTTGAGACCGCCATGATGTCAAACTTATTAGAAATCTTGTAATTCAAAACACTTAATCAGGAAATTAATGATAAGAGCCTAAGCATGGTACATGTTAATTACTATAGATTATTAGCAAACTATAGCAATCAATATAAAATATACTTTTATAAGTCGCTGAAACATTAAATTGTCTCGTTGAATTAGAGGCCCCAATATTATGTACTTATTATATATTATATGTGGATTCTGGTGGGGATTATTATCAATTATACCATACATGTTTTGTATATTATGGTATAATTACACTCCTTTCCCAGATGAGCTATGAATTGATCACGTGTTTTATCATATTGTGTCAACTTTAAGGTTAACGAACATGCCTCACCTATATATTAAATATACATATAATACATGATACAGTATTAACTTAGTTATGAGGCAAATTGATTATATAAAGCATTTCTGACGAT